TAAAAACTAATTTGAAATAATTAAATATAGTATAAATTAGGAAATAGGGGGTGTAATGTCATATTGGGTGCCTTAAAAATATATAACACAAATGTAGCTAGAAATCTTTAAAATTTGAACATATGTTCTAATCTTATAAATAAAGTTTCTACTATAGCATTATAAAAAAAAAAAATATATATATATATATATATTTTCAAGTAAAGCAAAACTAAGAGTATAATAATACTTATCTGCTGAAGCTTCAACATTGTCACTATAAGGGTTCAAGCCCTAAAACTCAGACTAAATTTTCTACATCTTGATTAATATCTTCATTTTGGAGTTTTGATCTTAGTAGGTTACACTTTTACAATATTTGTAGAATCATATTTTAAATAAACATTTTGTATTTCACCAACTACCTTTTACCTTATAGAGTTTTTTATCTTTTTTTAATTTGTAATTTAAAATATAAAAGAATATATAATACTTTCAAATAGAGTATACACAGATATTGCTATAGTAGTTTGAAAGAATATATAGTTAAAAAGTTTATTTAGCTTTTAATTATAAGCTTCTTTTTGATAGTTAGTTTAGGAAAGTATTACTATTATATCTTTTCATATTAAAATATACAATACGAAAATAGCAAATAAATAATATAAGCTGCTAAATCACATCCCTTCAAATTACTTCTATAATACTATATAAAGAAATAATATATATATATAAAAGAAATTTAAAGCATTAAAATCTATTATTATCATAGTTACATATATTGCTAAATTATGATATTACTGTTACATATCGCAGTATAAACTATTTCTTTTAACAAATAGCAATTGATTTACAATATGCAGTGCAAAACTAGTTCTTTGAAAAGTTATTTGATTCCCAGTATCAGAAAATAGTCTTTCACTGAGAACTGAGGTTGCAGGAATTGAGAGATATTTTTATACTATTTTACTTAATATTTGAAATTTTTCTTGATTCTTGTATCACTAAAGATATACATCTGTATTCTGTAGCTCAACAGATATAATTCAAAGATCTAAATAATTTTCAATTTTTATTTTGTGGTTTATATGAGATTGATGATGAGAACCAAAAACCTTTTTCATAAAATCTGATATTGAAGTAGTATGTTGGTCTAATTGGTGATAACTAGACTCTTTACTAGTTGTAGTTTTTAGAATTTTTTGAAACTCTTCATGCAACTCAAAAATTGTTTGCTTGTGAATTTCACTTGACTATACCTCTATTTCTTTTAATCTTGGGTCTAAAAGTGTTACCATAAGTTTAATCCTATTAGATCTGGCCAATAATTCTAGAGAGAATCATAAATAATATTATGTAGTTTTGCAATTATTATATTAATATTTTTTTATCTTGAATATTATATTTATGTAAACTTTTAATACTTTCTTTATCTAATTCACTCTCATTATTATTTTCACTAAGAAACAAATCTAAATCTATGTATAATTTAATATTAATTATAGTATAGATATTAATAAATTTTTAAAATTTAAATTAAAAAAATAATACAAACTATTTTTATCATCTAATTCTTCCTGATTATTCCAAATTTGATTTAGCTCTTCAGAAGATATTCCTGCTCTATCAGCATATTCATATTTTAAAGCCTCTATATTTGGATTAATTACTGAAAGTGTGGTATATTGTATTCTACTAAAATATGTTGTTAATTGGTCTAAAGATTGTAAACATTAACTAATTTGCATAGAAACTCCTATTCATAATCATATAATGTACATTTATTTAATTTTTATACATCTTCTTTTGTACTTGGATCATCAAGAAGATCTAATATATGGTTTAATAAATCAATAGCTAGTTTAAGAGTTAATAACTATTTCCATGTCTGATAACTTGAGTTCTAACGAGTCTTTATATCACTAATTGAACCTAAAATTTGTATTTCTTTTTCAATTTCATTTTATTTCTAAATTTTCATTTTTTTTACTATTAGTAACTGACTAATTACTTAATTAATTATCAGTATAAACTTGTTTCATTTTATTAAATTCATATTGAGTATATTTAAGCTGTTGATTTTGTTTTAGAGAGTTAAAGAATTTTACTAATCTACAAATATAAAATATATACTGTTTAATTGCAGTTAATGCACAATTAATTGTTAACTGTAGAGTATTGGCAAAACAAGGTAATAAAGTAATACTATTCCAATCATTAATTGCTTTTTTCATATTAGCACTATTATCAGTAATAATGCAAGTAATTTTATCTAACAATTCAAACTCTTCTACTTTTTGATGAAGATAATTCTTAATTCGTTCACTAGTATGGGGTACTCTATCTTTTCAACAGATAAAATAATATCAAGTATTTCAAAATTAGAGATAAGCTAATATAAGGTAATACTAATATATCCATCTTAGCTACAGGCTGTTCAAAGATTAGTAGTTAATGATGCCATTTCATATGTTTCTGCAATAAGTGTTTTAAGTAAACACAAGTCAGTATTATAGGCAATACTAATATCTGCTTTAACACTTTTATTGTTTGAAAAAACAAAGGCTAGATCAAACTGATTAATTATTTTTTTAAAACCTTTTTTTTTAATAGTATTAAAAGGAAGCGAATTAGTTACTAGCTATTCAGATATTATATACCATAATTTATTTAGTTTTTCAGGTTTGTGAGGAATAACTTTACTAAGCATATTATTAATTTGTAATTGCTGAGATTTAGATATTGATTTATTCTTCTCAATTAGTTTATGTTTAGTATACAAATAATAACTCATATTTCCTGTTTTACTATTATATTTGTATCTATGGCCATATTCTTTTTCAAATCCTTTGTATGGTACCATAATTTTACAAATAACTGCATTATTTTCAAGCTTGAAATAGCCCCAAACCCAGCTGTCTTTCTCTTGATTAGTTTTAGAATCTATATTTACTTTTATTCTTTTTGATTCCACATTTATAGGAGTTGAAGATTTTGGACTTTGCTTAGTACTAGAACTAGTTAAACTATTCTCATTATCTTAATAATTTAGTAAATCTTTATTGTTCAAAAATATGTTGCAGTTATTTATCTTGTATAAGTAGTTATTTCAAATATTTAAAAATATATATATGTAAAAAGTTAAATAATTATCTATTGTGTTGAGTTACGAGTTTTAAAAAAATTGGTTTTATTAAAAAATAAGTATATAAGGCATACAAATCTGTCTTTACAAATTCTTTTTATATACTTTTTATATAAATTTTTAGCTACTAATATTCTAACTACCTATTTTCTAAATCTCTATTATATGAAACTATTTATTAGATTCCTTTTATGATACATGTTTTATAAAAACTTATACATAATGATTTTATATATAATGACTCTATGCATAACAATCTTATGCATAATAATTTTATGCATAACAACTCTATACATAACGATCTTATGCATAATAGCAGTACTATGAGCAGATAGTCATGTATATAGTATGTAAAAATAAACAAATAAACAAATTAATAAACTAAAAAAAAAAAGAAAAAAATATGTGAGCTATAATTTTTATAAATGTAGAGCAAAGGGTTTAATGGCATTATATGATAGTAATACATTTTGATAATACATGATTATTATCACATAAAATGCAGCCTTAAGGCAGACTTATAATTTATTTTACAATAATAAGAAGTAAATTTATAGATTAATCATAGTATTGGATCATATATTTTAATCATATAAATATTTTTCTTATTTAGAGGTCAAATTAAATTCTAAGAAACTTTATTACAGACAAAAAGTGATGTCTTGTATATTTTTATTATTGATATTTTACCTATG